CAAGTTCGTTGCTTAATTTAGTCACATTGAAGTCTTTCGTTTTGTACGTGTCCGCCTGACATTTTTTCAATACGTCATTTCGATTTTCGATTCAACTTCTCGGCGCAGGGTTGTTGAAGTACCAGCCATAAGAAGTGGAACTACCTCGGCAGGCTGATGTCATGGCACAAACAATGCGCAAAAATAAATTATTACTTTGTGTTCATAACTTTGTTTTTGTTCTTTTTGTTGCTGCTCACCTGCGACGACTTTATTGTAACACATACCTTGGCGTATTATAATAAATCACAAAGAAAAAGCTATATACGAAGGCTAAGAGTAGACGTGAGAATCGATATACAATGCGCATTAAAGTCGCATTATTCCCGGAATAGGAACAGTACTTTGCTTTCTTCATGTACTTTGTTTGTTTCTTACACGCATGGACGCCTCAAATAAACACACGGCAGCTGGATATGGTATTTTGGCCAAACACAAACAGCACCCTCATACAAAATAGTGAGTAATGCAATGAACATGTAGTTATCTTTATCAACACCTTGAGTGCCAGCTAACGAGCAGCAAAAAAAAAAATGGCAAATTGCTTGGAAAATTGGTTGCGACTATAATGAAAACGTTTGTCAGCATAATTCGACACAGATTTCACAGTTGGCAGTCAGTTTGATGCCAGCGGCGATTTTTGGCATAAATTTATTATTTAAATTATACAAATTGTGTTGGTTGGCATTTGAAACGTTTAAAACGTTGTTTTGTCTGTTTTGTTCTTCTTACTTGTGCTATTTCAACGGCGGAAATAAACGACGGATACATGGGTCAAGGCAAAAGTTCATGAGCATGGATAATCCGAGTACATAGAATGACAAGGAAATAAAGTAATTTTGGAACATTAAACAATGGATTTCTATAGCCTTAAATGAAAGCATATATCTATATATATAAATCTGAAACTGGTTTCCTTCCCTCTTGATGTTCACTGGTATTCCGCATTCTTTTGTTAAGTCCGATTGTGTTTAAATTCCTCAAAAAATGAATTCCCAACAAATGGGACGAGTGGAACGACTGGTGTTTTTGGTATTTTGAAAATGGATTTTCATATTCTTACGTCAGATGATAGATATTTTAAGGGAATGTCCAAAATTTAATTTAGATATCGTACCAAACTAACTGTTACATGAGTGTTCCAATAAAACATCGATTTTCACTCAATTTCCTTTGTATTGCTTGCTCATACAGAGGTGAATTCAACAGCAGATGATTCATATTGAATTGCTGAAGGCTAATCTCCAGAGCGGTGAATATACCATAAAAACTTTATTGTTTTTCTTTCCTGACATGCGACATTCCATAACCAATTCCAATTCATAATTCCTAATAATCTACTTAAAACAGAGGGAACAGGGGAACAAGTGGAATGGTGAGTAAGCAAAGTTTGGAATTGTGAACACTGTGCATACATTTTTCAATTTTTATTTGGCAATAATTGAATTGAAAACGACATCATCCATCATTATATGGTAACCAGAAACAGGTATTCTATTATAATGAACACTTAATTTATAAATTGCCGCAACAATAAAAGAAAAATTGCTGTGAGTGTAACAAATCAAGTATGCACATATGTATATCTAATTGACAATTTACAGGCACAAGGAACTCCAGATTGTTTAGAGAAAGTGATGAAGTAGAAAGTCTTTATTGTGAGGCATACACATCAGCTACTGAGGAATTATTGAAATGACTATTTCAGCTGCAAATAGTACTCTATTATTACTCAAAACAATTAACAATATTCTAGATTATTACGCCATAGTGGGTGTAGCTATACCGTATCGCAGATCAAAAAGATTACTGTCGATGCGCAAATAATTTATGAGATAATTATAGCTAAGTAGCGTTCAAAAAATCGCTGCTGGCTGAAACAAATTGCGGACAATTTGCCATTTGTTGCAGCGCATTAACAAATATGCTGGAAAATATTGTTTGTAGATGTTGACCTACAAATAGCGCCTATTAATTGTTAAACACAACAGAGCTGACTATGTCACGCCCAAGCATTTAAAATATTTACGCGTTGGCCGACAACGTCATCTTAATTCAGGCATTATGTCATAACCGACTATATGATGCGAAACTTTTTAGATGGCAGCTGTTTAAAAACTGTTTGTTATTTTTTAATCAACAAGAATTAATGTACATATGTAAGGCGTCGATTTGAAATGCACAAAATAAATGTAAATAATAAATGAAATGAAAATATCCTTTTAAGTCGCGGGTGAGATTTGCATTTTTGCATGGCCGATGACATCAGACAGCGACTTGTACAATCACAATCAAAATCAGACACCCCCTCAACTGTAACCGCAACTGCAACAACAAAACAACACCAACAAAAGCAGCACAGACAATATAAATAAATCCTTGATCAGACAATTGCCACAACTTTGCCGCCGTCGTTGTCGTCATCATCATCGCCGTCGTCGTCGTCGTCGGCAACGGACAAGAAATAATAAATAACATAAACAGTAAATGACGCGCGATTGAGTTTCACATTGTCAAGTGATTTACAATTCGTTCGCCTCAATTGAATGAGCGCTCGTTGCTTCATGGTCGCTGTGCTAACTGATTGAGAATTGCAGCTGGCGATGGAGGATGGGGGATGGGGAAGCCGGAGGAGGAGATGCCGCTCGTCACTGACTTGGCAGCATCATTGAGCATTTATGCGCGCCATCGATCAAGTCGAGCCGCCATCGTCGAGCTTAGTTTAGAGTGCAGCAAACGATCGTTTGGTATGCGCTTGCGCGAATTACGAAATAAACGATCGTCTTATGTTGCAGTCTAGTTTGTTATTGTTGTTGTTGCTGTTGTTCTTGTCGTTGTTGTTGACACACATACTAAATGGCTGGCTGACGGTTTATGCGCCTCAATCTCAATCGGAGTCGGCTTCGGAGCCAGAGACTGAGGGGACTGCCATGCCACGGAAATGTGTGGCACCATGCTGTTGATAATGATGATGATGACTAAGTGTTGCAAGGTGTGTGTGAATTATGAATTGATTTGATTTAGACTTGCCTCAAGTTACGTTAAAAGCATAAATCTCTATTTAATTGGCTGCTGAATAACAATATTTTTTGGGAGTGCTCTGACAAAACAATGATAATTAAAAGGTTAAAGGTAGTCCTCGACATATGTACGTATTCCTTTCACATATTTTATGCTTACGTTTTCTAACAACAATCTCAGTTTCTATCTGTGCTCTATTTTGCGTGCTAAGTTCCTCCTATATTTGTACAATATTCGAAGCATTTCCGTTGAAAACAGTTGAAAATGTTGTATGTAATTATTATTTTATTATTGGCCTGTTTTTCAAACTTTATTTTAGTTACTTTTTTAGTGGTTTTCTGTGCCTTTGACAAAAATATATGTATTTTGTATAATGTACAAGTGTATATTGTTTTAAAATCGATTCAATATTACTGAAATAAATGCATTTTATTTGTATTCCTTATTCTGTGGCCCTTTTTTAAGTACTTGAGCTATACTTTAGTTGCTTTCAATTGTAATAATTATTAAAAAATGCGCCTTGAAGCTTAACATAGCTCAGCCAAGGCCAAATTGTTATTCTGTGATTTTGTTCTACTATTCCACTCTCAACACTTAGTTTAAATGTTATGGTTATAGTTTTTTAAATTGTTTAAATATATGTACACTTTTTCAAAATATGTACGTCTTACAATGTCACTGTGACAGTGTCTATTCGTGTGACTATCAATCGGACATTCAATTAGACAGTTTGGACGAGGGAATACTGGTAAAAAGTTAAATTCTGAGCAAAGTAAATTCAATTAGCTGTGGTGTGTTGACCTCACTTTTGAGAACTTTTATTATCAAATGTACTTAGATATAACCTTGTCTATCAATACTAATGGAACACAAAAAGTAGCAAAAGTATGAGCGTTAATAAGATTTCAGTACAATTCAAAACCTCAAAAGAGGGAATTTCTCTAAACGAATAAAATATCTCAACAAATTCGTGATCCTTTTTCTGTAAATATTTATTTGACATAGCCTGTTTCCTCTTCTCTTTTTCCATTCCAATTCGAATGTGCCACAAAAGGGGTGGATACCATTCGTTCCATGATGCAAACAGTGTGTTGCTGGTATTAAGGAAGTTAAGAAAGTTCCCCTCATTCTAAATGGAAGTTTGGGCAGCTGTAATTCTGCGTACTGGCTGCTCCCCTTTTTTTCAAGTGTAATGCTGCTGTCACGTCAGAAATAGCAACTACTCAACACTGGCAGCCACGGTGTAGGTGGCTGGACAAGTGGTTTACCGACTGACAGACTGGCTAGTCCCAGTGACTGTCTCAGCCTTGCAAACAAGCGAACGAACAAACAAACAAACATGTATCAACTGTAGCAGTTATGTGTGTCAGCATTGCGTCTCAGCGGCAACTGTGGCCGGAGCTGAGGCGCTGAGTGAAGAGAAGGCAAGCAGGCTGCCTTAAAAGGCAGCAGCAACGTTCGCCAAAAAAGCCAACAGATCAAGAGCTACGAAAATAGCAGCTGCCTGTGGTCGCTCATAGCGCGTCAAGACTGTAGCAGCAACAATGTGTGGGCTGCCTGCACTCGCTCGCTCAATGAATCGATGGCAACAAAACTAAAACGCAATGAAAACGAATTCGTTTCAAAAAAAAATGAAGAAAAACTTTGTTGTTAACGATTTAAACAAAAATTGGGCTAGCGCAGACACGAAACGGCAAACAATTTGAGGGTCACCTTCATGAAGCTTCGCTTCAGGCAGCACCAACGCGACGACTAGACCAGGCTTGTGTAGTCGTCGACAGTGGGCGTTTCTGGTGACTTTGAAACCATCGCCGTATTAGGCAAGAGCTGTCAGCCCACTGGCAGGCAACGCCTACAGTTTTGCTCCATTTTTACACTGAACATATTGTTGCTAAAAACAAATATATATATATACAATTAATGTTGCCGTGGCCACTCACCTGGAAGTGCAATATAATGGTCCAGATCAGACCGAGAGTTAGCTTCGGATTGCCATCAACAATGTCTTCGGCGCGTATGTTGACCAATTTGATTTTCTTATAGCGCAAAAAATCCAAAGCCATTTGTGCATTCTGCAGCATATGAAAACGCATTTTTCCTTTCTCACGTGGCTGTTAAAAAATACAAATAATAACAATAACAGGAAAATCAACAATAGGTTTTAGTGTCAAAATGTTGTTGACCATCATGCGGATACCTACCAGGTGTTCGCCAGAAAGCACCTCCAACAGTGAAAGTAAATTGTGACCATCGCGCAAATCTTCGAATAAATCCACAACTCGACGGTTGGCCTAAGGCGGAAAATGTGTAAGAAGGAGAGAGGGAGAGAGAGTGTGAGTAAAAGGCATGTTTAATTGAAAATCGAAAGTGATTATTACATGTGTAGTGAGGCACAATGAATGCAGCATGCACAGGTGTTAAAGTATTAGATGCAATTGGAAAAGTGTTTAAAATCCAATAAACTGAACGGTGCGTTTAGGAAAAAACGTAGTGCATCAAGAATTATATTAAGTAACTTAAGCCTGTCGAAGTATAAAGTGATTTCGTCAGCGATCTCTTTAATTATTAAACACATTTTACAACATCTAACTACACATAAAACTAAATATCAATTGAAAATACTAATAGCATTCATATTGTTAACAATTTGTTGTTTAAAACCGAATATAAATTACAAAATATTTCGGACGAGTGTACATATTTTGAATTATCTTTTTTAACCTTAAATTTTTTTCATTTCTTGGCTAATTGCTCATATGGGCATCTCTAAGTGTGTTTAGTTTAAAGCCAATAGTCTTCAACGAGCTGCTGATCTTATTTTGCGTTCAACAACATTTAGACGCTATTTGGCATTGGAACAAAGCTTACAAATATTTAAGCAGCACTGTTTTATTATACCCTATACCCTAGTGTACCCTTTAATTAGTGCTAAAGTATGTAACACATAGAAGCAGGTCTGGAAAGTATATGTGTTCCTAATCATGATGAAAAGACAAGTCGATATAGCGATGTCAGTCTGACCGTATGTATAAATAACCAATTTGGTGTAAAATTTATTAAATTTTTCATTTTTATTTTTGTATTGTCAATGTGAGAGATTTTTTTTCCCATGTGGAATGATTTCCACTAATATTTTCGTATTAGTATGTGCCTCCAACTAAAAATTTGCATCACATATATTTGAAGTATTTCTTTGACAATCAAAAAGATCAGCAGGTTTAATTAATAAGAAATACTTTGTTGCAGTAATAATAGTTCCGATAGTATCTATTATCTATGGATTATTCGGCTTTAAGGATAGCTAATAAAAACAACAAACGACGATTTTTTCTAAGCAAACAAGGAATATGAACAAAAACATAAAATTCTATCAATTTAAACTATTAAGCCAGGTGCAAACTTAGAGCTATTAAAATTGAACAACATGGATCAAAACATATTGAAAGAGTTTGTTTTATGTTACATATATTTTACATAGGTTCGGTCGCCTTAAACTTACAGACTGTGGGCAACACGGTATGCCGTTTGTGTTGACACACACATGTAACATTGTATAAGTCTGGAAATTTATGAAGAGAAATGTTTGAAAAACTTTTTCGTGTTCTTAATGTGATAAAAAATAAAAAATTTTTAAAACATAATCAATTAAAACTGAGCATAAATATTGAGCTTGTAATACCTTGGCATACTTCCAATGCTGCTTGAAAAGTAATTTAGATGAAAATTTCATTTAATAGATGTGCAATTTGTATCCGTAGCCATATCTATGGCATATCTATGGCAAACTATGGACTTGATGGCAATAGTTTTAGAGTTTCTATGTGGAATGATTATAAAATATTTATGGCTATCTTATAATTCTATAAACGAATATAATGCTTAACACTTAACTACTCTATGATATGGACTAAATGTTTGTGATACCGTTTTACGACTCGATGAAATGCTAATGAAATACATGATACATAAAGTTCATAGCACAACAACTCTCACCAATGCTCAATTATGGGATATACTCGAATATTTTTTGTGTGGGTCTACAGAAATGATGTGCGATGTCGAGCTTTGAATGACGGTTATCTCTGAAGCGCTTAACTACACAGATTTGCATAACAAACTGTCACAAAAAAGGCGCGTCTTGCCACTTACCTTTTTAAGATGTTTGTTAACCCATTTCGTGAAAGTCTTCTTTTGAATGGCATCGCGTTCGTCTGCGACGGCGCAACAAGAAATTAAGAAATAAAAGTAATATTAGTATAATTGTAAAATTAATTGTTTTCATAAATCATGCAAAAAGCGCTGGGATTTTGATGCTAATCATTGAAATATTTTATTCTTAAGCTCGCTTGATGTCTAGACCTATCTTAAAAGTTTCAGTTTAGCGCTGACGTAATGCAGTCTTCCAAAGAACCATCTTGTTTGAAAAATTAATAATTTTTTATGTTTGAGTTTGAACGCCTACTAAAAATGTCAATAACGAATCTAAAGCCAAAAAAGATCGCTGATAAATTATTAATCAAATTGTATTTTTATTTAATATCCAATTAAGTGTAGGCGTCAAATTGTGGCCTTAGACCCGTCGAATCTTTTAATTAGCTCAATTAAGCTTGATTTGTTTTTGTAGTAATTAGTGGCCTATGTGCTTGTAATTAGCAAACTGTGTAAATTGATTTGTATTACATATACGTGAACTATCTATCTGATGGCTTACAAATTCGCTTTGGTTAGAATTTGATAAAGCCAGGTGCTTTTAAATTGATAAATGTTATTATTATATTAATTTCGACTTTGATACTCGTAACTTAGGTGGCAATACTCTGATTTGTTATAATGACACATCAGAATTGGTTAACAACGAAAATCAATAGCTATCTGTGTTTATGCATTATCTGTTGATAAGCCACTGCTTTTGTTCTTTTCACACAAAATCCCAGCGCTTTGGTATTTAGTTAATTCAACAAAACCAAGAACTTGTTTAACATTTTGCGGCAATTAGTTGAAAACTAGCTGATAACTTCAACAAGAAAACGAGACAACGACCCATACTCGTACATATTCATAAAATATGCACATAAAATATAAATATGTATACATTTGTATCTGTTAAGCTTTTATTGCATGCGAGAATTTTGTTTTCGATTTTTTGTTTTCTTATTTTTGGCGCAATTCATTCATAGAATCACTTTAAGTCATGCTTATTTTGGTCGTTTGTTTCGTCAGCCACTTGGCCAACACAAAAACGGTAAAACGAATTGCGGTCTAAGCGATGATTAATTGTACGCCCGAAATGGGCGCACGCTTGGGCGGAGCGGGGCGGTGCAAGCTGGACAAACAAACGAATAGTGTGAGCGCTTAACAAATACATACGTAAAGCGATGCACTTTAATTTGTGTTTTGACTCAAGCCACAGCTATCTAATCAAGAATTCCAATAGGGCGGGTATATAAGCACTTTAGGAGCAACAACAATTAAATTGCATTTTATTGAAACGGCAGTAATAACAACAAAGGTAATGACTGATATGGCGCCATTGGTAAGAGTGGTAGGTCAATTGTAAGTGAAGTTTTACGGTTAATAAACCTAATAGATTGAAGTGCAGTGTAAACAAGAACGAAAGCTCGACACAGCAGAGACCATAAAAAGCAACGACGCAGCAAAGACACAGTGAAGAAGCTAAAAAGCAAAACAAAAAGGCTAAAAAATGTTTAGTCAGATAAAGCGCAAGAGCAGCCACACTGCATCGACCAAGAGAGCAAGAGCGCAGTTACCCAAGACAGAGAAGGAGAGAGAAGCAGTAGAAGTAGAAGCAAGTTGCGGCAGCTTAAACAGTTAAAATTGAGCTACTTGCGCTTGGGGTGGGCCGTGTGGGAGCGTCAGTTTCAAAGTCTGAGAGTGTGTGTGCGGCTGTCTCTATGTGTGTGAAGGCTATTAACGCGTTTTTAGCATATTGTTTTGAGTTATTATTATAATGGTTGTTGTATTAATTAACGTGTTTTATTGCAAACAACAACACATATTTTACTTATTGACAACTTTGAGCTGTAATTGAACTCTGCTTTTTACATACATACATGTATGTACATACATCCATAGACGTTTGCTGGAAGTTTTTCCCCATTACCGATTGAGTGAGAAGTAAAATGAGAGTAAAGAAGAGTAACAGTCGACGGCTATTCAGTGCTGTTTATACTTCAGCGTCAAAAAGAGCAAAATCAGCAGTTGAATCAAGCCAGAAGTAGCTGATTCTTGTTATACAAAGCTCCACATCTCTTTTTCATTTCCAATTGATTCTATGATCCAAGAAATTTTCAGACAAAACTTAGTTATAGGCATACATATGTATTTAAATGATTACTACTGCTAAATGTTACAGGAGTTTTAATTTAGAATGCCTTCCACCAAAAGCGTCAATCGACTTATTTTCCAACACTGCTGCTTTAGCTGCATTCTGTTCTTTCCATTCTGACTCTCGACTCAAAAGTGTCGCTCTCTCCCTCTGCAGTCTGATTCATGGCTTTGCAATTCGTTTTGCTGCTTTCCATTCATGTGGCTTTTAAGAACAATTTTTTTCTTTCTTTGTCTTTTTTCTGTATTTCTCAACGAACAATCTTATCAAGGTTCCACACGCAATCGAAAGGTAGTAAATTTAAGGTTTTTTTGCGCATACGCACACAACTATCAACAGCAACAGCACCAACAACAACGACAACATGATATGTTTATCTTTTACACCAATATGGCGATAAACATTTCCATAAATGTTTCACACCAACTGCAAAAAGAAGTTCAGTTCACTTGAATTTGACATAACAGCCAACAACAACTACGACGACAACGACAACACTTGGCAGCAAAAGTTGTAAAAGTGTGTGAGTAAGTATGTGTGTATGCCTTTACTATCTGAGCCAATGTGTTTAGTTGTGTGCGTGAGCAAGCGCGCGTGATGATGTCACGTTCTAAGTTGAATTCGTTTCGACGATTAAACGTTCGTTAAACAAGTGTTGTTGTTGGATTTGTTGCTAAAGCTAACTGACATGCGCCTTGCTTCTCTTATTGTTGTTGCTTCATTTGATTTTAGTTAATGTTTATTTTTGCATTCTCTGTCGTTGCTTTTGATTAGCGCGCTCCAATGACGGCCAACAATAGATACAACAACTAAAATAACAATAATAACAGTAAACAAGTAGTAAGTACTCAAATTTTGTTGTTATGATAAAAAATTGAGCGAAAACATTGGCTGAAGGACGTTGCTTGACCACCAAATTAGAAATAACGATTGCCAACATGAGTATTGGACGATAAGAAGCTGTAGTTGCTTATGCAAGCGCCCATAAATAGGCCATAGGCATTATATTATATAGTAATCATTATATTATATTGTATAGTAATCATATCTCCGGATGTCTTCGTACAACATGCATACATACATACATACATTAGATGCATACATACAAAGAAAAAAAGGCCTTTCGAATACTTTCAGATATAAATATGAAGAGCTGTGTTTTAGTTTTATTATTCAGCAAAGTTGCCAGCTAAACTTAAGTTTACCAAGTTAGTGCATTGAATTCACAATCCTGAAATTTATTTTTCCCTAATATCGTGATATTTTAAATTTTATGATTTATTTTGAAATTTTGTTACTTTGCTACTATTTATAAAATAAATCTTTTTACGTGAATAGTAGAGCTGTGTATGTAAAAATCTTGCACATGTATTTAAATAACTGAATTTTAAATAAGTTCAAGTACATGAATGGAAATACCATCATACTTCAAACAACGCATACGTGTATGAACACATACATATGCAGACAGATATATGGATAAGTGTATAATTGATTTGAAATCCTGGAATTAGACATGTATTTCACGCAGTGTTAAAAGTAGATTTCAAATTTTTTATCTTTTTATCTTTTATTTTTATCTTTCTAAGCACGCGCAGCGGCTTTTATTTCAGAAATATGATTGATTTATTGTTTATGAATTTGTCACATTATGCATATAATGGGCGCAAAGTTCATTAATTGTGCTGACTGTTGAGGCGCCATGCAAACGACAGCTCCCATTTGGTTTTGGCCCTCTGAAGCCATGAGCTTCATTAGCATTTACATTAGCAGCTGGCTGTTAGGAGCATACCTACATATTTAAATACATATAGTTTCCATATAACGGCGCTATAGATTTGTGTCAACTTTGCACACAAGATATTTTAAATATATATACAGACATATACTAAATGTAAGTCATAAGAAACTCATAAATGTTCAAAACCAAATAAATAAATTCCAAAATCATAAACTCGTTTCAAAGCAAACATATAGGACAGAGCCAGTCATGCAACGATAACCAAATGAGTTCAGACGAAATTCGAGGAATTCGTCTTTATGTTAAATACATATACTCATACATATTTGTATATATATATGTACATATGCTCAATAGCTAATTTGTTGGGCGAAACGTAGCCGAGGCTTAATTGTAAATGCCCGATGAGCTTGAAGTGTTGACTAGGGTGGTGTCAATATCAGTCGAGTGTGTTCTGTATATTCTTCTATAGCGTCTTAACTAAATATTTGACTTACTTAACTGTCAGTCTTCTTGCTGTTTTGTGAAATGTTTGCGTATGCATATTTTTGATATCGCCTCTTCTTCTATCGGCCAATGTCTTCGGCTGATCAGGGGCTCAGCACAATAAGTTCCATTTATAATGATGATAAAACTCAAAGAAAGGCGAGCTAACAGCTTGTGTACTTTGCATATTAATTTTGAGTTCCTTGTCAACCAATTACTACGAAATTTCAACGCTAATTTCCATTTCTTGTTTTTTTTTCTAACGAATTGTGAGTCATTTAATATACAGTTTGACAATCACTGTATGCCGTTGCAATCAATAAAATATGTGAATGACCTTGAACGCCGTCCATAATAACTAACTTAATTATTGGAGCTAGCAGAAACTTCAAAAATAAAACAAACAAAAATCCACAACAAGTATTCGTCATTTTTATTATTTACTCGAAACTCGTTTTAAGTGACTGACAGGGCACCCGATTTTCAAAAAGAATTAGTAGATATTGTTAATGGAAGACGAAGCCAGAGCTTAATTCAAGCAGAATAAATATAGGAGCAGAATCATAATTAAAATTATAAATATGCGGCTTCTTTTTTTTATCAATTTGAAATGCAAATGATTTCCGCCAGGTAGTGGTTGTTAGAAAATGAAAACAAAACGGCAGAGAGACAGCACAGAAAAAGATCGCAATATTTTCAAATCGAAGCTTAAATACGCTTGCGAACCCGATCTACAGGATTGGGGATTATGGCATTTGAATAGAATATATGGCCGGAAAGTAAACAGAGTAATAAATTATCAATTTATCTAGAGCTTTTATAAATTTTTGTGTTTAATTAAAGCCATAAATTACCAAATGCATGAAACTACGGTTTGTAAGAATTTTTTAAATCAATATGATTTGAAGAATTGCTGGACCTAACAACATGCACTTAGCAGTCGAAGCATGATAGAAACAAAATGGAAACCGAATGTCCGTTTCTCTGCATCAGCTGACAATGCTTAAATTGAATTGCGAAAATGGCTCGGCCGGCCATAGCAGAAAGCTTTAAGGTTCCCAGCTTGTATGTACGAGTAGCTGGTTATCTTAAAATTCCACTAATGTAAATCGAAACATTCCTCCCAAAAAAAAAAAAAAAAAATATCACTAATATAAAGCACAACAATAACTAATTTTAAGCATCATTGCAAACGAATGCTATCCCCATCGTGAGAGTAATCTCAATATTTTTCGTTAGGTTTATTAAAATTAATGGGAATGACCAGATCTGGACAGAATCCATACACAAAGCACGTTCGCATTATTATAAGCAAAAAAAAAAAGAACAACGAGCAACAGGAAATCAAAAAAAAAACAACAACAACTTGGGATCAATTCCAATTCATGCCAGAGGGTGGGAGGGACACAAAGAGAAAGGCCTCCGCTATTTGCCGACTTACGCATAATATCCCAATCTTCTATAAAATGATCCCAAATGGACATGGTACCTTTAAACTGCGTCAATGCATCCTCATAGCCGCCCTGCGGCTGTGGCTGCGTTGACGAGTGCTTGGCCTTTTTGGCCGCAGGACTAGCTTCGTAGAGCGGCTGCTGGTGTTGGTGGTGGTGATGATGGCGTTGCTGCTGGTGCTGCTGATGATGATGATTGCTGTTGTTAGCATAAATTTGCTGCTGCTGATAGTCCACAGCGCCACCAACACCGCCACCAGGTGAGACAGAGATTCGTGCTGGCGAACCGCCGCCAGCAACAGTCGAGCTGCTCGTCGCATGATGATAGCTCTGATGATGGTGATGGGTTTGTCGAGAGCTCGTGCGCTTCATGGAGCCACTGGACGGGATGTGGTTGTTGCTCTCATGCTGCACCTCGTTGGGATCGAAGCCAAGTACATCTTTATAGTAGGAATGCGATGTCATGTTGTGGGTGGCACATTAAGCTGCGTTCACACGACACACAGAGCGAGAGAAGAGCGAGATGGTTAGAGAGACTGCCGACTACTTCTGATTCCTTCACTTTCGTCGCGTTTAATTTTTCTCTTCTTGGTTGAATGGCAGACAATTGTGGTTTTTATTTTTAGCACTTATTTGTTTTTGTTATGGAGTTTTGTTGGATGGCACTTTGTGGCTTTATTTTTATTGCTGTTGACACGCACAATTGCTTGGACGATTGAATGGCTGTGGCTGCTTGGACATGAAGTTGTCTTTGTATCTGTATCTGCTGTGGCTGCTGCTGCAAGCTGCGAAAGCGATACAAATTAGCTGAGCAATGAGTCAGTCGTCAGTCAATCATTTAGTCCGAGAGTCACTCGCGACGTACTTGAACGTGAAATCATCAATTTCAATTGCAACAGTGCAGGCACACCACAAAATGCAAGACAGAGATAAGAGATGAGGAAAGTGCAATACACTAAAAAATTAAAAATAAATAGAATAAAAGTCCCCTGACTTGGACAAGTCTCGACTGCTCGCCGACTGCTTGAAACAAATGAGGAAGTCTATTTGCAAATGTTGTCGATGTGGCCGGCATTTTGTTCCAATTGGCTGGCAGCCAAACTGAGACTTAGGGGCGACAAATACGCGTCACAGCCGGCAAAGCGAAGAGCAACGTGTGAGGTTGACACTTTGACGAGCATGTACGAGCAGTATCTACCAGATATTCGCACAAGACAAGCTATAAAGGCATGCGAAAACTGTTGCATTTGCTGTGCCGTCTCCTCCGGCAAGAGACACAAAAGTGTATTTACAAGATACAAGCCACGTACACATGTTGATATGTGCAAAAAAGGGCACAACTTCAAAGTAAATGAACAGCACAAAACTGCACAGATACGAACACAAAAGCGTTTTTTGCATTTAAATTCAACAATGACAAAATTGACTTTCATTTGCAAAACTCAGCCTCGCTTGACAACCTCAAACAATTGCCTTTTTGTGAGTAACTTTTTTTTTTGGCAGATGATTACTTTCAATTTGTATTGAAGTTGAATTCAATTTGCTTGGCATGGCTTGGGTTTGCTCTGCGCTGCTTTGCATTCGTGCATGAGGTCAGCTACTGGCGTTCATAAATAAATATAAATGTGAATCCAACAACTTAAATACAAAACAGCCGGCTAGCGCACGGGACTCGCAATGGTGCTGATTAGATATGATACATACAAATGTATATATGTATATGCATGTATTTGTGGATATATATAGAGAGAGACACTGCTGTGTATTTCTGTATTTGTCGCCAAAGTATGAGAATCAGACAACTAGCCAGCCAGGCAGCTGCTCTCATTATTCATTTAGAGTTTGCCAGCCCTCTGCTTTGTACTTTGTTTTATTGTTGTTGTTTCTATAAATTTTTTAATTTTGTTTATGGCCTGCATTGTGCATTGTGTTTTGGTTAATTTATTTATGTGATTTTCACACGACAGCCAACAATTGTAGGCCGCTCTCAGGGCCAGACGAAGTTGCCAAACAAATGGCAAACAAAATGTTTGCTGGCATTTTTAAGTCATTTTCATAATAAATGTCATCATTTTCTAGGGCGGCTTTTTTGCAATATAATTAATTTACAAAGCAGCAAGATTCGGTCAAATGTTTAACTGAATTTTTTTTATTTTATTAAAAGATTGTATTTGTTTTCTTTTTTCACAATTTTATACATAGGTGTTGTTATTTCTTCACTCCTTTGGCTCAGGTTGAAAGCTTTCACAGTTCACGGATTTGCAAAATTGTCCGCTAATTTAAATAATTTTCACTCAACATTTTTGTAGCTCGCTGTGCATTTTCCATTCACATGCAAAAACTCACACAATAATTCATCAACATTTTTTCTTTGCTGTTCTCTACTTTTTTTCTTGTTTTAGTAATTTTCTTCGCATGTGTTATTTGCTTTTCATTTTCTCCTTTGCATTTCTCAACACTGTGGCATAGTTATGGGTGTCAGCAACATGTTGCACAGCCTGCATTTGTATGTGTATGTGTTTGTGTATGTTTCTAAGCCGTACGGTACATGTCAACAATCTTATGAACGGGCCAAGAGCTAGAAAAACCATAGGCCAAGATAGCTGAAGAGAGAGGGAAATGGAGAGGGAGAGAGCTAACTATGCCTGGCATGTGTAAGCCACGCGAAGACCCAAGAATGTAGCAAACAAAGTGGAATAGGCAAGTGGCAAGAAATGAAAATGAGTACTACCCGATGGGCACAGGTAGTCTTAGCGTCTTAGCCACAAAGAACGAACACGAAGAACCCTCAACGAACGAACATGCGTTTGGCATAACTAATTTGTTAGTAATTCGCATGAAAAACGACATGCAACAGAAAAATGTTGATACTCTAGTCTGTTCGCAATGAGAAATTAAATTCAAAATGTGCGTGCACGCAGGCGCACCGACAACAAACAGAACGAACGGACGAGTGGACGAGCGAACAGACAAGCAGATAGACAGACACAAAAAAATTTTTGGTCAGCGCCTAAAAAGAGCGTAGAGCTTTAAAACTGGTTATTGAATGAAAAGCCAGGCGGCCAGCAGCAAAAATAAAAAATCCGCACACAAAAATAAGAAGCAGGCAAGAAGTTTCTTGACTCGATGATCGGATCGTCGCTGTTGACGGCCTCTTGGGTTCTCCGATTTGTTTTTTTTTTTTCTTTTCAGCTGCTGCAAATATTTGAGAAATGCGCCCCACAACAAACCAACACATACAAATACGCGCACACAAATACAGCTGCTGCGTCACAGGAAGAAAGAGAGGCAGCGGGAGAGGAGCCCAGGCACAGGCACAGACCAACCAATGGCCCACAAATTATTTTGCCATCGTCATAAAGCAATCCGCGTTTATTTAGGACGATAAGCAAAGAACCGACAACGACGGTTTTTTATTTATTTTTATAGTTTTTCATTTCATTTGGTTGTTTTCCTTCTTCTTGTTTTTGTTATGTAGTGTATAAAGATAAACACTTATATATGTATTGTATGTACATATAAGTGGAATTATTACTTTTTATTTCAACTTTGAATTTTGCACAATTGGTTGTTGTTGTTTTTTCACTCTACAATGAAAATTTTAATACACACACGACGAATATTTTGAACAACTATTTTCACGTTTTACTTGTTGTCGTTGTTGTTATTCCTACTCGTACTAAGGGCCCCCACAAAAGTGAAGCACCAACGGTCGTGCGTTCGTTGTGTGTTGGCAGAGTTTACAAATTTTTGTTGCTGCTGTTTAGCTTTTCTGCTTTTTTTTATTGAACTAAAAAAACGAAAAATTTGTAGAGACGCCAACCGCTCGGTATCGTTGTTCAAATTGGACTGAGCGCACGTTTCGTTTGGGTGTCGCGCATGAGGTCTGAGTCTGAGACTCAGGTCTGAGCGAACTGAGTGCGCGCCAATGCAAAAGTTTGTGTGTGTGCATGTCAGTGAGCAGGTGTAGCTGCGTGGCTGTGTGCGTTTGCAAGTGTGTGGGCCGCACGCAAGACAGCAGTGCCACAGACAGAGCGAGAGAGAGAGAGAGGAGGAGGAGATAGAGAGAGCGACGTTGCGATGATCGTGGGAGCAGCAGTAACAGTGGCGTCAACAACTGGCTCTACATTTTGAGTGAGTTTTGCAGCTTTACTGGCCTGGCTGCATGAATGACCAAAATTGTCATGCATTGTTGTATTTTTTGCTGCTTAGCGATATGTAATGTGTACGTGTGTGTGCAAAATAAAAGAAATGCCACAAATTTGGTCAAGAAATTTGTGTATTTTTTCGGAGTTTCTGCCTGTGTCTGTGTCTTTATAATGGTGCTGGTTTCGCATCGAAACGCAGATACAAAACGTTTTTTTGGAGGAACAAACTTATGTGGGTTTTACAATGCGCCAAAAAACCACCGCTAATGGTCATGGCCGTTATTAAAAGCCAAGCTCTAATTTGGTTGTCTTCTTGCTTCCGCCAGCTTTTTGTTCGACTGTGTTAATAACCTAGCACGAATAAGAAATGATGCTGCAAATCACATAAACCAGTGATTATTTTCATCATTTATGGCCAGCTTAAAAAGTGTTGTAATATGTATATGAATTAATTCCTACTTCCCAAACTATTTGAAGTCATAGAAAAAATCTCTACAACCCCTTTGAAGTATAAATTCCACTTCATAATATAATTCATGCTTTGAACTACATTTGAATGGACATATGTATGTATGTGCATATGTACATGTATTAATGGTCTTCCTTTTCGCTCGCTCCAAAGAGTGCACACAACAAACGAAAATAGTTTGGCCCAAAAAGCAGGAATTGTAAACAAATCAAAGACATACCCGCAAAAAGAAGAACTAAACTCAAAAGCGATTTGTTGCCCAAAAACAAATTATAATGTGAGGTTGAAAGAACTTTTGGTTTTGGCTTATAAACATACATAAGCTGCTAAAAAAGCAACAACAACGACTGGGCGCAAGAGAAATATTATGTGTAAAAATAGTGGAAGAATCCATAAAAATGTAGAATGCGAAGATTAACAAGTCATCAGAGAGCCGACGAAGACGGCAACAACAAAATGAGCGTTCCTCGAGTGAAGTTGCTGCGAGTAGTTTGAGTGTTTGAGTATAAACATGTTTCTTTTTGAGTGGCTGCTGTAGAGTGGTTGTTCAAGAGCGATGCAGAGAGGCAAGGGCGGCAAACAGCTGAGCGACGCTACTCGTATGTGTGAATTAATATTGCTAAGAGGGGGCAGATGTTTGGGATGCGTCTGTGACAATGTGGGGTAGGCTTAATAGAGGTTGTAAGTATTTCAGAAATCTTCACTTTAAGCTTAAGGAAGCGGCATCTTGCGAGAACAATAACAGCAGCAGCTGCAAATCAGCTAATTCTAATTAACGGAAATGCATTGAAAGTGACGCGAAAATTTATATTCATAAAACAACACTTGTTTAGGATGTGAGTCAGTATCGTGTTTTGTGGGCTCTGTGACTAAGCCAAGCCCATAAAAAAAACAAGGTGGTAAGCTACGCTTTTGGCGTAGGCTTAAATCGCCAACGAGGTTTTTTTTGGGCTTCAAGTAACAATCGTCATTGGTATATATGTAAATACAAAGGAATTAATATAGATATAAGCCTAGGAACATATGTGTACATACGAGTGTGATGTGTGATATATTGTGCCTGTGTGTGTTCATACTATTTCGTTTTACCTTCGCACACGCCTTCATTCCTTCATTCATTTGCATGCCATGTCTCAGTTGAGTGATTCCAGTATCTAGATAAAACACACTTTGTTGTTGCTGCTGTTGTTGGCCAGCCAGCTTAGTCTACTTTAGCAGACGCGGCCCACTTGTGCATTCGCCAGTTGGGGGCACTTCCTCAAGTGCTGCACTCACACAATCTGCATACCTACATACATATGTACATATATACTTAAAAAGTAAGTCTTATATGGGAGGCGTTGCCTTTTCTTTCAATAGCTCGCACTTTAAACTCGATTTGCGCGCTTACGCAAATTCGATTTTTAATTGTTAATCGCCAATCGCAAGTCGTTGAGCAGATTTTGAATTGGCAACATTTAATTGCCAACTGATTTGTTATGGCAGTTTGAATTGCTTTCTGACACGATAGAGTGGCGTTAAGGCCCAGTTTGCGAACTGGCGGGCAGTGAGGAGGGATGAGTTTAGCTCGGCAATGGCTCGGTTTTAAAAGTTTATTTTACAGTTGTGGTGGGTGTACGATTATGTTAAAGTCTAGCTTAACATTGAAACTTGCGAGTTTTCAATGCTTGAGTTGAGAAGGCCGAATGCAAAAACAGTTCGACGAATTAAATTAAATACATATTTGTAATCTTAAATCATCACACACTAAGGCTATTCACGCTTATAAGCAGACATTAGACATTAGACATAGAGAATTCATATATTTGTGCATTTTCTTCAAATGAGACAGCAAAGCATGTTTATTTTAGATCCTATCCTAAATACTACACTAAAATTATATTCAACAGTTTCGTAATTTTTACTTAAATTATAAATTCTGTTTGCTGCATATCTAGCAATTACTCAAATAAATGTACTTGAAGCATTAACGCCAATCAATACATAACCATAAAGAGGCTGAAGATTTTTGCTGTTTTAAAAACAATTTATAGACTGTTGATAACATATTTATTTTGCTTTCTAGAAACACAAGTCCTCACGCAATCTAAACACAACTATTTTTTCCGTTTTTCACACAACTTAAATTAAAATATGATTTTTCTAGGAACTTTAAATGAGTCTTGATTCACACGTTTTTTGATATTAGAGTTGGAAAATGTTTAGAATTTTTAGAGTTCCCACAAAAATTTGTCATAAAAATATAAAAAACCCAATAAATTTTATTAAATTTAGATCTGAATTGCTGTAACCTTTTTGGAATATCTTCGAGAAATTGTTCACCTCAATACGTTAGAGCCTGATAATCCTGTAAATATATAACATTCCCAATGCGAATTTTGCTTGGCTATTTTAACATTCTTTGCAAATTTCAAAAGATATGGATCTGCATAACTGTTGTAATACATCTTGGTCCCCTTTAATAGCTAATGTCGTATGAATGTTTCCATTACAACACTCACTTAACATTCCACTAGACCAGTATTGGCCAGCTTTGAAACATATTTATGCCTCAGCAAGCCACAGCTGTCTGTATCGATATCCAATGCCCACACACAACACTAACGCCCAAGCAGCGAAAATTCTGTCTGTCAAAACCACATCCGTCTACAGACTTACACACAATTACATACAGATATACATGTATATATAATGCAAAGAGTCAGGCAGACAGATAGACACTTGCACTCGCAACACTCAGACAGTTTTTCCGTAGCGCCGCCTATCCTAACCATAAAGTCTTAACGCACGCTGTGGGCGGCAATGAGGGGCGTTAACCGAAAAGCAAATACCGCTTACTGTGCTGCAATCGTTCGTCATGCGCTTAAAAATGGAGACATTACTTGTACTTACATTGTTTTTATTTGCCTTACAATGGATGGCTGGGGGGCTGTGCGTAAGGGGCGCCTCATCACACGAAAAAATGCGCAAAAATATGTCAATGTGGCATTTTGGACAATCTGAAGTGGGCCTGAAACAATAGGATGTCTTATAGACAAGCAACGGCTGGCTCGACTGACTGCCTGCTTGACTTACAACAAATGTGTAAACAAAAGGCGGCTGGCTATGAACAAATAAAAGCAATAGCGTTTGCGTGTACTGAGCTAAGGGCTTGCAGCCCATTTGGGGGGCAGGGCAAGTGACCCAGTACCCCAAGTTTCCAATGACAGGCTTACGTGGGCCTCGTCACCAGATTCCATTTAGCCGTACGGCCTTTGATACACTCGACAAAAAAACATACATAGTATAAAAGTTTTAAATAAAATCGTATTGGGTTGTTTTTTTTTACAGCTCTAAGCGTCTATTTCAGACTGAAAAAAGGCTTTTTAAGTCAAAGTATCTAACATAAGGGTTAACATATTCTATCTTGCAATACTAATAAAGATGAAAAAATTAAATCTATCGGCTCAGGTGTTGCAAAGAGCTGGTAATACAGCAGTTCTATCCAACAATTTTTATTCCAAGACTATCACTGTAGAATATATTGTATCTATAACTAACTTCTCAGTATTTGTTCTAGTCTCAGAAGGCTATAAGAAACGCAAAAATGATATCTTAAACTTGTCCAACGCAAGTCGACATCTTATTCTTTTATCTAAATTGTCTCTAATGTAAACAGAAAGCTTCTAGTCATTTAAAGAAGTAGATTGAGTAGTCCCCACTGTTTAGAAAGTTCTCATATAGATGATCGATTTGGCACGAACTCTTGATTGGGTCACATGTTAGACAAGCAAATAATTTGCACATATTTTCGTTAAATTATTCAAACTAGCCATCAAAGCAGAATTATATTATCAATAAAAAGCGTTTCTTAAAAACAGTTAAAATTTAAAGCTATTCACAAAAGAAAAGGGAATAAGGGAACATTTCTTATATCGTTTCATTGCTAATTAGTCTTTTCGATTATTTAATCCAATTGTATTGTGTTTTTTCTCTATCGTTCATTTATCAGGAGCTCTGTTTAATAAAACATACATACTTTTAAACTTTTAAATACATACTATACATTTTTCCAACACATCCAACATATACTGCACTTTTGACTTTTTCTATTTTCTGGAATAATCCCTATTTTTCCTCAAAGTGTACGG